TCCCTTCTCCAGGGGAACATTCCCAGCTCTCCCTTCTCCAGGTGAGCATTCCCAGCTCTCCCTTCTCCAGGTGAACATTCCCAGTTCTCCCTTCTCCAGGGGAACATTCCCAGCTCTCCCTTCTCCGGGGACCATTCCCAGCTCTCCCAGCCCGGCTCCAGGTGGGCTCCCGGCGCTGCAGGTGGGGTCTCACCTGAGCGGGGCCGAGGGCCGAGCCCCCCCGAGCTGCCCAGGCTCGGTGCCAATCGCTCTCCAAGGGATTTATTTCCATTTATTTGCATTTCACAACAGCAGGACCCCTCCTCCTCCAGCCCCGGGTCACACCAGCTGCAGCCCCGTGGGAGGAGGAGAAATTCCCCCAAAAGCAGGAAGGAAAAACTTCACTTCATCCAAAGGAAGGGGAAAAAATGAATTCTTTTTAAGCCCCCCACGTTTCCCGAGATGAACTCATGGATATTTCCAGGAAGAGGCACCCAGCACTTGCACCGTGAACTCCCCTGGGGAGGGTTTGACTACAAATTTCTCATTTTTAACCCCAAAAACCTTCAACTCCCTCCCTCCCAGTCATGGCAAACACATTGGCAATGCTCAGAGGAGCTCAAAAATAACATTTTCCTCTCCCTGCACACGCAGCACCCCGGTTTTTTTAACCCTCCACGGGGATTTTTGGAGCTCAGCAGGGAAGGTCAGAACTTTCCTGGCTCTGGGAACACCCAAGCGAGGTGACACTCTGAACTTTTGTGTCCTTTAGGGACGGCTGGATCAAATTACCCCTCTGCAGAGATCTGCTGAAGCAGAGAAATTAATTAATTAATGAGCTAAACACTCCAAATCCTGCAGCGTGCGCAGGAGCCACGCACGGAGGAGGTTCTGATTTACCAGGGTGGTAATAAATACACCCCAAAAATGTAAATACCCCCCAAAGTGTAAATACCCCCCCAAAAGTAAATAACCCCCCAAAATGTGAATACCCCCAAAATGTGAATACCCCCCAAAATGTAAATACACCCCAAAATGTAAATAACCCCCAAAATGTAAATACCCCCCAAAGTGTAAATACCCCCCCAAAAGTAAATACCCCCCAAAGTGTAAATATCCCCCAAAAGTAAATACCCCCAAAAAGTAAATAACCCCCCAAAATGTAAATGCCCTCCAAATGTAAATCCCCCCCAAAAGTAAATAACCCCCCAAAATGTAAATACCCCCCAAATGTAAATACCCCCCAAAAGTAAATAACCCCCCAAAATGTAAATACAAAGTGTAAAAGCCCCCCCAAAGTGTAAAACCTCCTCCAAAGTGCAAATACAATAAAATCTGAGGTGTTTTTTTTTAGAGTTTTCTCCAAATCTCTCATCACACAGCTCTTGGCATCCCCCCAAATACACCCCAAAGTGTAAATACCCCCCCCCAAAAATGTAAATACCATAAAATCTGAGGTGTTTTTTTGGAGTTTTCTCCCACTCTCTCAGCACACAGCCCTTGGCCCCCCAAATAAATCTCCCCAAATAAACACCCCCACCCAGGCAGACCAGCTGGATCCGTGTTTCCTGCCTGGAAAAAGCCGTAAAAAGGGGAATTTCGGTGCACACTGCCCGGTTTGCAGGGCGCTGGAGGAGGAATATTCTGATTTGGAGGCTTGGGGTGCAGCAGGAGCCCAGACCCCGGTCGGGGCCGGTTTTATCCCGGCGGGCTCGGGAATCCCGGACCAACAGCTCCATCTCCCGTCCGAGCCCGGCTGCAGCTCCGGGCTTGGTTTTACCCAAAAAACATCCCAAAAAAACCTCTCCCAACCCCGCCTGAGCTTTGTGCTGCTCCGGAGCTGGGAAATCCCTGGATTTGGTTTCTCCGCTCACCTGGAGAAGCGCATCCCCGCTCGGATTGCCATTCCCAGTGCCAAAACCGATGGGTTTGGTTAAAACCAGAGGATGTCTCAAGGCCAAACTTTTATTGCGAGGCTGATGCTTCCTTTTCCCAGCCCCGCACCCCCCTCCCCGCGAGTCCCAGCGCTCTTCTGGGGGGAAAGGAGCGGCTTTGGGGGCGGCCGAGCGCCGGCATCGCTTCCACAGGTCCGGGCAGGGATGGATTTGATCACACAGGTCCTGTCCCGGGTGGGATCCCTCGGGTGGGCTCGCAGGATCCCTCCGCTCCTGGGTGGGTTTGCGGAATCCACCCGATCCCGGCTGGGGCTTGCAGGATCATCCGGTCCCGGGTGGGATCCCTCCGGTCCCGGCTGGATTCACGGGTGCCCTCCGGTCCTGGGTGGGTTCTCAGGATCCCTCCGGTCCTGGGTGGGTTCTTGGGGTCCCTCCGGTCCTGGGTGGGTTCTCAGGATCCATCCGGTCCCGGCTGGATTCACGGGATCCATCTGGTCCCGTCTGGGTTCTCAGGATCCCTCCGGTCCTGGGTGGGTTCTCAGGATCCCTCCGGTCCCGGCTGGGTTCTCAGGATCCCTCCGGTCCTGGGTGGGTTCTCAGGATCCCTCCGGTCCCGGCTGGGTTCTCAGGATCCCTCCGGTCCTGGGTGGGTTCTCAGGATCCCTCCGGTCCTGGGTGGGTTCGCGGGATCCCTGCGGTCCCGGCTGGGTTCTCGGGATCCATCCGGTCCCGGCTGGATTCACGGGATCCCTCCAGTCCCGGGTGGGTTCTCAGGATCCCTCCGGTCCCGGCTGGATTCTCAGGATCCCTCCGGTCCCGGCTGGATTCTCAGGATCCCTCCGGTCCCGGCTGGGTTCACGGGATCCCTCCGGTCCCGGCTGGATTCTCAGGATCCCTCCGGTCGCGGGTGGCGCTCACTGGTTCCACCCGATCCCGGGTGGGCTCGCAGGATCCAC